AGCTTTGCTGGCTGGGGGATTCTGGGAGTTGAAGTCCGCCAGGCTTAAAGTGGCCAAGGTTGGAGACCCCTGTACTATTGCACTTTGAAAAAACCCGGCAGTTCCATGTGCCACAGACACTTCAAGGAAAAGCAAACCAACACAGGAACACATAATCTTTTAACCTTGAAGGCAGGATCCAAATGAAAACAATCAAGTGATCTTCGTTAGGAGGGTCTCATAGCGGAATCTATGAAGTCACTGATTTAGGGCAGCTTCCCCACAAAACTCTGAATTGCAGCTTCCTGTGACCAATCATCAAAAATGGCAGAAGGAGAAGTGCAGCCCAAAACATCTGATTGCTGGAAGTTTGATTTGCAGCATATCCAGACCAAGATTTTTGTCAGATTACATATGGCAGTAAGATCCCCTGAGCCTGACCCATTCTTTTGAGTGTCTCAACCACCATTGCTTGCTTACCAATAAGTTTACAAGTGTGTGCATGTGCGTGTGCAGTTTGGGATCCTCATGTTGTCTTTAATGAACATGGAGCTCTGTGTGTGATTGCATCAATAAGACACTTTCACAATCCATGTTATTAGATTTGATTTATCTCCCCCTCTGCTTGCCAGAAAGGACCTTTCATCAGGCTTATGAAATAACAGGGCTCCAGGATCATGAAACAGGTGGATTTACAAAGATTTTTTTAAGAGGGCCTCACGAAAGGGTGCAATGCCACAAATTTACCTTAAGAAAGAAAAATGTTGTGTTAATAAAAAGAGTGAATATGGGACAATAGCCAGAAAAATGAGCTCGTGTAAGACTTCTGTTGAGACCAATTACCCATAGTATCACTTTAATGAGGTACAAGATTTTATGTGGATAAAACAGGACTTGAGATGCACACAGTGACAGATCTTGGGCTGTGTGTGAGCTGTATGCCTTGTTCATGTGGGAAAAATCAGTATTCAAGCATTCCAAAAAATTTTAGTGGGCAACCTAATTGAACAAAGGGAGAGTTCACACTAGCAAGCACTACCTTGGTATTATATTCACTGTGAGATGTGCCCCTACTTTAAATGAGTTTGCATATGTTATTGTATGAGATCTCTTAAAATGCTATTCATTTAATCCCCAATGGAAATTTCCTGTAAAAGGGTAAAAAGTAGAATTTGGCTTTTCTGCAGCCGCTGTAGCCTTGTTAATGCAGAGGTGCATTTATCCATATCTTTCTGTTTGTGCTGAAGAAAGACTAAGGTGAGATAAAAAAGAGGATGGGGAAAAAAAAACAATCCTTCACAAACAACTCATATCTAAATAAAGCAGGATCTGTGCTATTATTTGCCCCAGTGAGTTTTCTAAGGTCAATCTAACTCATTTTGTTATATAAGAGCCAGGATAGGGAGAGAGGGTTATACATGGGAAAAAGAGAAAAGCGAGGAAATTTTGGCATATTCCTGAGAAAATACTTCTAATGTGATTATAGGTTGTGTGTTATGTCTTTAGCGTTTACACATGAGGAAGATAGGAGCATCATGCTTACTCTTCATCTTTGTAAGTATTGAAGTGAAAGGAAGGAATACAAATATGTGTGTTTTTCTTTGGTGTGAGGGAAAAGGTATATGTTTAGATCAGGGGTGTCCAACCTTGGCAACTTTAAGACTTGCTTTGCTGGCTGAGGAATTCTGGGAGTTGAAGTCCACAAGTCTTAAAGTTGCCAAGGTTGGACACCCCTGGTTTAGGTGATATATGTGAAATTAGGATTTGTGCCCTGTACTTCCCAAACCTTAGCCTTTCCTATAGTATTGGATCCCAGTTCTCATCATTTCAAGCCAGCATGACTAGTGGCTGTATTGAAAGGGCTGAAAGTGGGGACAGCTCATGTATGATTTTAAAGGCTGCGGTGATCTTATCTGTCTGGTGAAAGCAACAAGATTCAATCATTTGGGTAAATATTTTCATTTACCAAGGAAAGTTAGTATTTCGCTTTGATATTACACCACTTGATTCTTAACCCTAAAGTTTTGAGTGGATTTTTAAAATTATTATTCTGCAATCTAAATTTGAAGATTATCTAATCTAGCCCTACCAGAAAATCATTTTTCTTTCAAGAAAGGTATATCAAGTGATACGAAAATCTTTAATTTCCCAATGGGAGTGAGGTTTCTGCAGCCTCTACTACTTGGTTTTTTACCCTGCTTTTCCTTCCTTCCTTCCTTCCTTCCTTCCTTCCTTCCTTCCTTCCTTCCTTCCTTCCCTCCCTCCCTCCCTCCCTCCCTCCCTCCCCTCAGTGCCTGGGCATCCAGAAACACAACCTTTCCCACCACAGGATGAGTACTCTTTGGAAAGGAAACTTTCAAACAAAAGCTGGGTTGATTTTATGCACAGTTAAGTTCACAGTTCCTTAGGCAATTCATGATAGGAAGTTCCAACACTAATGGGCTCACACTCTCATTATGTATGAACCTTTTTAAACATACTTGTAACAATACAAAGCTATATACACACCGCATTACCTGATACACATATGCATGAGCAGCTGTCTGTCTGGCTCATATTTCACAATTAAAATTGCAATTTATACACGTGGGAAGTTTTAAGAAACCATGTCTTCTTTTTCCAGTGGTCCCTAAAGGCAAATTCTAATCTTTGCATTTTGTGAACTGTCCTGTTTTGACTTGTCATCCTCCTTGCACCCAGTGGTTTGTGAAGGGCAGGGGTGCTCATGCAGTATGCATTCCACAATCTCAGATAATCTTCTATGCCACTTGATATTATGAGCACTCCGCTCCATCAAGCATGTCTGAGGCCCGATCCTGCTGGGCTGTAGTGTTGTTCATTTGAACTCTGGGTGCTCAGGTTCATGCCTTAGTTTTATTAAACCCAGCAAGATGCATCCTTGTGTTCCTATTGCGACAATTCCCACCTCTTCCTCTCTGGATTGCCATCTTTTTCTTATTTGCTCCTACTGCAAATCCACTTTCCAGGAAGAATTATCTGAATTATTGTCTTTTATTGACTTGAGAGGTGAATTTATAGAGCCTCCCTGTGGAACTGTGGCTTGTCCTGGTATGGATGCTTGAAGAAAAAAAAACACAGAAATCTGCTTGAGTTATAGTCTCCCTTGCCAACAGGGTATGTGCTGATGTATGCCATTAAAAACCCAGGACAAGAGTTCCTGCCAACAGATCAGCAGCAGCAATAGTAATCTGCATCTATCTGTCAATCACAACACAGCCAGAATGACTTGGCATTCTTATTGGAAGAGACCTGTCTTTGGAACAAAATGGAATAGCCAGAACAAAGCAATCTGGTGCAAGGATTAATGTCCGTTCTGTTACTGTGAGGCAGGTTTGGTGGCAATATCAAAGATTTCCTAAGAAGAACCCTGCCAATTCAAGTATGTTTGTAGAACCTGTGGTCCCTTCCCTGCTGAAGTAAAAGTAAGGCTTCAGTGGCCTTTCTGATTTAGGGTTGAAAACCATGTCAGACCTGTGGTTTCTTTGTGAAATATAATCATTCTATGAGTTTGTGTACAAAACATTGTTTTGCATTGCGTTTAAGTCCTGAGAAGATCAGGCAAAAATCAGCTATAATCAAAACTAGAGTGCATATAAAAAAGTAAAACAAAGCCAATCAAATACAGCAGGAGGCAAGATTTTAAAAACACGAAAGACAACTTAGCTCTCTTTTTGAAAAGGAGTCTGCATTAGGCGTAGGCTCCATAGCCAGGTGTTGCCACTGATAAAACCTTGTAATGCATCTCTACCATTTGCCCTCTCTTGGCAGCAGAATAACTGGACTTGACAAATAAGTGCAAGGATAACAAAGTGTTCTGGTCTCAAATCATTTTAGACTTTGAAGATAATAATCAGCAATTTGTATTAGACCAAAACAGTCAGAAGTCCATGGAGTTTAAACAAGAATAGGGCAATATTTTCAGAAAAGTAGGTCCAAGAATTTTTTTGGGGAAATAGCTATTCCAGTTGCAAAATAAACATCTCGTGTTACATTTAATTACTACTGGCTGTAATTGCCATTAACTGTTATGCATTAATGTGTTAATTTATTTGGACACCTCTATTTAAAGATGTTTACTAGGACACATTCTAAGGAATATATGGACTCAGATCTTCTCTTTGTGCCACAGTCTTGCATTTAGCATTTTATCTCCCATCTATTCTCGCCACATCCAGTCACCATGCTGCTTGCAGTAGTTGCTTTACTAACTGCGTTTTGCAACTATCTCAGGTATTGGTTTGGATGTAAGTAATGCCTTCCTACCGGATGGATTCTTACTGAAGCAGATGTTCATTCCAGCTTCCTCCTCTGGAAACAGTGAGGGAGAAATCCGCCTAGAACTGGGGAAAGAGCAGGCAAGCAGCAGGAGACACCCAATCAATAACCCCCAATCTCCCATGGATGATCAATCCTTTTCCAGAGCCGAGTCTATGGCCCCATCAATCAGCTAGTGCACCCACACCCAAGCTGACATAGAGGTTTCCAATGAGACAAGACCGAGGCTGTTGGTTTCAGGATTGGGATGTGAAATTAGACAATGGAGTAGATCCCTGAAATGACATCTGGAATCTACTTGTGGCCAATGCTGCTTTCCAAAAAAAAAAAAAAGGATCGAAACAAAAGACGGTTTTGCTGTGTATCCTGCGCTTCTTCGTGCTTATAATTAGTCTCTGCCCTCCCTCCAGCTGTCTACCTGCACTCTCCGTGGCACAAGGCTACAGGAGCCGCATTTTGATTATTACAACTATTCTCCAGCTGATCAGGACATGAGTGACTCTGAGCTGCCACATGTCATTGAAATCTATGACTTCCCACCAGAATTCCGCACTGAGGATCTGCTGTGTGTCTTCTGCCATTACCAGTAAGCAGTTTGGTTCTGTTTCTCACTTGTGTTTTCTAGTGTGGTCTATCCTCCGAGCTGAAGGGGCCGGGATGTAACTTGTTTAAGAGTCACTGTCTGGCTGCTTGCTTCTTTTATCGAAGCCTCAGGGCTGTTATCATCAGCTTTTTCTAATGATGCTCAGGATTGGTATGTTATTGCCACCCATCAGGGAAATACTGTGTTCTTCCCATCCTCTAAGGATTGTTCCTGTCCTGCAGTGAGAAATTCAAGTGAACACACATCCATTTCCTAACCGTATATTTTCTTTGAAGCTGCACGTAATTTGATAGATTTTGCTGGTTTTTTGGATCACTGCCAATTTTCCAGCTTGCTTTTGTGTTTTTTTCTTTCATCAGGAAAAAAGGTTTTGACATTAAATGGATAGATGACACCCATGCTCTGGGTATCTTCTCCAGTCCCATCACAGGTATGTCCTGCTTCCGAGAACCAGACCTGCTGGTGTGTCCTTGAATGGAAGGTGCTGGATGATGGCATTGGTTGAGTGGGGGGGGGGGGGGGGGGGGGCTCCTGTCCACTCTCATTTCTCATCTGACGTTGCCTTTCTTCACCATAGCACGGGACGCTCTCAATACCAAACATCTGGTGGTGAAAACCCGTCCCCTGTCACAAGCTACACGAGCTGCAAGGACCAAAGCCAGAGCTTATGCGGGTAAGTCCTGAAAGATTCAAAGAATCTCCCAGGTTAACCTTTTTTCTAGCTGCTGAGTCATACCTGTAATATATATTGTCTTCCTATAGGTATTAACTGAGGCCATCTGATTTTATACCAGGCTTCAACTGTCCTATCCATCTTTGCTCTGCACATGTTGTCATAGATTGATTAGTTCTGGTTCTCACTGCTGATAAAAATGCCTCCTGATGAAAAAAACTGTTCCATTGGAAATATCCATCATTCCCTCTTAAACTTAGCCCTTAGAATCCTGTGCACGCTTCTCCGGTGAAAGAGCTACACTAACATCTGTTGATGGTGTGTCCTCTTAGCATTGAACAGTGCTTTTTGCAACATTAACAAGGATCAATCCTATGAAATGCTGGGACATCCCCTCTTGGGTTGCTGTTGGCTGAGCTAATTCCCAAGACACTCTTCAGGCAAATATGATGTGTTGCTGCTTGTTGTTTTTTTAAAAAAAAATAGTTTTCCAGTCCTGTGTTGTCCAACATTTATGAGACTGAAAAGTGAATAGCACAATGTTAACACTGCTGTGTCCCCTGATCTGCTTTCAACACAGTATTATGGAGGTAGAATTAATGGTTCTGGAGAAATAGCAACCGGCTAGGACTTGTATATTTGGCCAGTGGTTTCTTAAGTTCATTGCGACATGTCCTCTTTACTATTCTTCCCCCCCCCCCCCCCCCCCCCAGTTTCATGGGAAGGTCTATTAAAGTTGCTACCAATCTTTCACTCTGCCGTGTTATATTTAAGTAGAAAGGAATGCCTATTTTCTGGGGAAGAGAGCCCTCTGTTAATATTTAAATATGCTCCTCTTCCGATCCTATCAATGGAAACAATAACTCCAGATATTGAGACATCTGCTTTCCCCTCCTCTTAGAATTCCTGCAACCTGCCAAAGAGCGTCCCGAGACCTCAGCTGCTCTGGCCAGGAGGCTGGTGACAGGTGCCCTTGGTGTGAGAAGCAAGCAGAGCAAGGCCGAACGCGAAGCTGAACGTAAGCAGTTACAAGCAGCTCGAGGTAAGCTTGAAGGAGCAGAGACGCGGCAGTCTTGGAGTGTGTTTGTGGAAGAAGTTGGGAAAGATAGGAATGTCTATTCTACTTCTAGGAGTACCAAATGTCTAAGGTGGAAAAGATGCAGTCTGCAGTATCACAGATAGCAATGAGAGAAATTACATCATTTCTCTGTGTCTTGGTTTCAAGCTACACTGCTCTCATTTACTATCCACATTCAGGAAGTCTGTCTGGTCCAAGTGTCTGCTGTGGTACAGAATGGTAAGTGAGCCAAAACGTTCTTGTTACCACCCTGCCAGATCGACCTGAGTGCCCTAGGGAACTCCTGAGTGGCCAGCGATTTCCCTGTCTCGGGTTCAGCAGAGAAATCTATTATGCTCTCCTGAAATATGTAGGGATATACAAGAAAGAATTGGCTGCACTTCAGTCCCCTTTCTTTAACATTACTAAGGTACAGCACCTCACACTCTGCTTATCCTCCAACTAGAGAGCAGTGGTAAAACTATTGGCCTGGCTGGGGGATGGAGAGTTTTCCATCCTATCTGGTAAACTATAATAAATTCAACGAAGTATTTGCAGATTCCTACTTGCCCTTGTCTGGTAGAAGTAGAATGAAGACAGAGAACCAGTCAGTTACTGTAGAACATCTTGTGGATATTTGGAAATGAACTCCCCTGTCCTGCAGTAGTGTAATCTCTTGAGTAAAGGGTTAGTTCATTCTTCAGTTGATGCCCTTGTCTATGGTACTGCCAGTCTTCTATTTATGATGGGTGCCTGGACGCATATGGTCTTCAAAGGATTCTACCTAGCTTATCTCCAAGTCCTCACCTTCCTGGATGGCCCAAAATTGAAATTGAACCCACATGTTCGACAATGCAACTTTTTGCCCCTAAGGAGGTAAAGGACAAATCATGTTGAATGAGTAGAAAATATAGCATAATAAATCTATTAGTTATAAAAGCTATCAGGAGTGTATTTCCTCTTGTGAAACAATAAATCTTTTGAACAACCTCTGTTCCATCTTATAATCATGGGCTAGAAAATCACGTAAACAGAAATTAAACCTGTACACTGTTTTCAATTTAACCAGAGTTTCTGAGTTTTCGGAAGAAATATATTATTTATTTTATTTATCTGTTAGATTTCTGCCCAGCTTTTCCATAGTGGCTCAAAGTAGCTTTCACGGATAAATATTTTCCTTTTTTTTTTTTTTTTAAGAAATCCTGTGAGATAGATAGGGCTGAGAATTAAATTTGACTGAGTGACCTGCATCCAGATCTTTGCAGTCCTAGACTGAACCGTTGAGAAGGTGTTTTTTTTTTTTTTTTTTGCCACAGCTGGTGGATATGGAAAGCAGAACTGAATCTTGTCCGGATGGACCAAAAATGATAAAAAATGAGAATGAAAAAATTAAATATAGAAGCTATGGACTCCCTCTTGGAAGAGAAAGGGTAGAAGTTAGTTTTACTGGCACCGTATCTTTTATGGAAGTGCTATATTTCAAGCTCACATTATCATTCAGGCAGCATTGAAAATCAGATGAGAAATGCAGGTCATTAACAGTGCAAATATTTTATCTGTGTTATTTTTTCTTTAACAACACACCTTGCACTTTGGGAATATGCTGACAACTTTTTGTGAGTTCAAATGATGAATCTCCGGGTGGTTCCATGTTCTACCATGGCCTCTTCTCTCTAATAATTCTGGTAAACTTAACTCCTCTGTCTTTTCCTTTCCCTACAGTCCCCTCCCCTCCCCCCATTTTTCTGTGGCATATTCTTAAGCAGCTCTTTTGTAGAGTATCTGTTGACCTTCTTCAGTTGTTCTTTTGAAACCGGAGTACAAGTATTGATTATTTGAGTTTCTTAGACATTCTTATTGTAATTAACTGTTAAAGATTGCTTTTCTCTACTGGTTTGGCTTTTTGAATAGGATACACATCCAACAATCACTGTCATCTTTCCAGCAATAATATCGGGATCAGATGTACTATGAGCTCCGTGCAAAAAGACATTTTAGGGGGGGGGGAAGCATCACCATTAAATATGTGATGTCCAGGTTTATATAGCCTTCATTGTGGTTACTAAGGAGTGCCTCTTTGAATCCATGCAAGAACTAGGAATTCTTATTTTCCTATCCTTTTTCTTTAAGGGCATTGGAAGAGAACAAGGATCCACCCCCCCCCCCCCCCAAGCAGCAAGAGCAGTTTATAGCTCTAATTAAGTGCCTTGAGGGAAGAAAGCTGTGGTATATCCAGTCCCTCTAGGAAAAAGATATATGGGAAATGCAATTGTGCCGGGTCTTCAGTGTTCAGCTAAGGACACTAGGTGGCGCTCCAGTTCTGTTTACTGTACTGAACAATAGTACCACTCCAGAATACAGAATCCTGTGCCAGGCTGAGCTTCAAAAAAGTGAGAGTAAGACATGCATAAGAATAGCTAATTTATTTTAATTGTAGCTACCAACTCAGTAATTTGCTACTCCGCTTTGCTGAGTAGGCTTTCAAGTAGATTACAAGCAAATTCTCCAGGCTGATCTCAGGTGAAATGCAGCTCCATAATATGTTGCATGGATCTGTAGGAAGAGATAGGAGCGCTGTGCAGGGTAATTGAGTGAAGACTTCCAGTGTGCAATGATGATGTGAGCATGTCCACTGTTTGCTGAGGGGGCTCTTGATCTCTGCACCAACTAGGCAGAGACAACAGCCTTCTATATCATGAGGGATATCCAGAGAGAATGCATTCACACCAAGGCTGCACGTAAGAATGCATTCACACCAAGGCTGCACGTGCCCACCAAAGCCCTGGAAGTTGCTGCTCTCTTTCACGTGACCATTACTCCCCTAATCACATTTTCTCTTGCAGAGCGGAAGCTTTTGGAAGCCAAGCAAAAGGAAGATGCCTGGGAAGGTCGTGAGTGAGTCGGCAGCCAGTGCAAGAAGAGGGAAGTTGATCAGGTCTGATTGAAAACCTCGTGGAGTGGAACTGACACATGGCAGCTCATGCTTACAGCATTGAGGACTCTACCATCCCCTTTGGGAGAAGCAATAAGATAATGGGGAGTTGGGAGTGCACTGGAGTCGTCAGATATGCCAGGGTGAGTCATGTGAACCCAAGCTACTGGGCTGGAAGGCCGCAAAAGAGTCGGACTGGAGTCTGGCAGGAAGGAGCTGCTGTACTGTTAACAGTCCTGCCAGGGCTGTTCTGAATGCCATCGCCCAATGCACTCATCCCATTTGTTTCAAGCAGCCTGGATGCGGGGCCTCTCTGTGCTCTGGGTCACCGAGTCACGCTGTGCTCAGTGGGATGGGACTGAACTGTGATAGCTTTTAGATCAGGCCCACTAGGATGGCCAGGTGCCCAATGCTGAGCTTGCTATTAAAGTTGATTTGATTTTATATGGTGTCGTGTGATGCAGGCAGCTTTACTGCCTCCAAGTAACTCGATGAATCTTCAGCGCTGGAAAGTAAGCAGAGGAATGACAGCAACTCGGTGAGTTGTTGCCGTGGTTGGACTGGGCTCAAGACTCCCCTCTTCCAGATCCATAAGATGCCAAGAAGAAAGGGGCTTATCTCTTACAAGCCCATTCCTGATGGGACCCTCGTAAATTCTCAGCTGAAGAGCTGAGGTGAAAGCAACTCTTCCCCTACAGGGAAATCAGGCTCCAGCTGGGAGATCCTGCGACCCAAACAGATTCTGGACCTCCGAGAGGAACCGTTGCCAAGCGGCTCTGTGCACTTGTGGGATTTCTCTCCTTGGGGCAGGAATATGTTGGCAGCAGTCCTTGCAGCATGTCACTTCCACCCTGTAAAAACAGGCACAAGCCAAAAGCCAGCCAGCTCTGGCCTGTTTCACTTTACAGGCATTCCCTCCGCCGCCCACTCCCCAGGAATGTTTCTCAAAGACCAGCAAACAAGGCCCTTTCTGTTCTGAACAGCTGCATTACCACCACCCAAAAAGCGGGCAGATTGGCTGCTTCCTGTAAATGTACATCAACAACACACCTTTGCCAGGCTGGGCCGGAGATTCCTGTGGTCAGACACTCCCAGCTGCGCTTGGGGTCAAGCCCTGTAAGATTGGACCAAGAATTTTGGTTGGCTCTGCTTAGTTGGTGCAGAGATCAAGATCAGACATATTAGTCTGACCTTGCTACTGCGCAGCAGTCGGCACCATTGCTGCTCAAACTATGGATCAACATAATCTGCCCCAGTCCAAGTTGTGGGTCAAGACAGCACATCAGAGGTCATGTTGGAGGTGGCGATTTGGGAGAGAGAGAGAGAGAGAGAGAGAGAGAGAGAGAGAGCGGGGAGAGCAGAATTCACTAGGAGTGTGTGCCTGGCATGCCCCATTGACCTAGTCAGATGGAGACTGGAGATACTCTCTATGGGACATTCCGCTTGAGACTGTTCGGGGTCAAATCGCACACAGGCCAAGGCAGCTCTCAGAGCTGGAATGTTCTGGCAAGCTGCCTGTTGCTGGCCAGCCAGACTTACAGCCACCTCTGTACCTGGAACAGCAACCGATTGTGTCTCCCTTTGAGCAGGGTGGAGTGCTTGCCTGTGATGTGGGCAGTATTCTGGAATAGGAGCGGATGGGTAGTGACTGCTTTTCCTGGCAATTCCACTCGTCTAACTCCCTGCTCTGCCAAGCAAGTGATACCTGAACCAAGCCCTGTCTGTTTGATCCAACTAAATACTCTCAAATCTGATACACCAGACTGGCTAAATTAGGTTTCATTCCCATTTATAGTTTCTGGCAGTTTGCAGGGCCTCCCTTTCAGGCCATCAGCATTTGCATCAAGAGTAGACTAGCCGTCCAAGTAATTTCATATTTACTTAGGAATAATTGCATTGAAGCTTATTGAAGACTGTATTTAATTCTCTTGTAAATGTGGCTTTAAGGCAAACATGCAGGTCATTCTTTAAATTGGCATACCCCAGGTCCGATGCTTAGCTGGTCCCATACCTTATTCCAGACAGGATTTGTCTCTTCGATCCATTGTTGGCTTCTTTTCCTGTACTCTTGTCATTTCTGTTAGGATTACGCTGTTGCAAAACATGCCATGGAATTTGAGAACTATTTAAGTATCTCCAGAAACAGATTTAAGATTTGTCTCCTCAATGTTGCTTTAAAACCTAAACACCAAAAGTGTGCAGTGTTCAGATCTGAATTATGCAAAGAGGCTTCAGATCTAACACACACACACACACACACACACACACACACACACCACACACACACAATCAGCAGTTCCTTAAAGGAGAAAGACCCTTTTCTGGTCTTCCATAATAATATCTATGCTCAAGAAAGAACATGAGTAAATTGAGCTCAGAAGGCATTAAAGCAGGGGTGTCCAACCTTGGCAACTTTAAGACTTGTGGACTTGTGGCTTTGCTGGCTGAGGAATTCTGGGAGTTGAAGTCCACAAGTCTTAAAGTTGCCAAGGTTGGACACCCCTGCATTAAAGGCATCTGTAAGCGCTCATGTCCTCTTGAATGATCCCCTTGTATCAGGGCTTATCAGATTCCCTGCCTCATCTGCCTTTCAATATTTTTTTCTAGTTCCTCTTAATTTTAGAAGAAGACAGAGAAAACATTCAGAACATGCTTAGACCCTTTTAAACTCATTAAAATAGTTCTCCTTTGGGACATTTGGCCAGAAAGTGAGACTTTAAATGAAGATCACAACACACTCCACACTCAATTGCCTCTTGGTGGGGGGGGGGAGGTTTTTCCGGATTTCTTTTTCTTCTGTAGCCCCTGGATTGATCTGGGTCTTTCTTGAACTCAATTTTTCTTGGCTTGCTTTATTTCCAGCACCAAATTTGGCCTTGATCTGTTCAGTTTTCAGAATTACTGTGCTGAGGAAACGCAGTAGAATCCTGGGTCTCTCCATATAATTTATTTCCGATATTTCTATTGGATTGGAAATTTTAAAAAAAGAAAATGGATCTGGTTGTTGTCTTTTTTTGTTCTCTACTACTGATAAAATCTTGTGTTCCAAAAACGTTTGCCAGCCACAAAAATTGAACAGTACATTCAAACACATGTCAGTGACCATTATACTGACCAATGGTAGATAAATCAGGTTCTTCACATTTTTATTAATCAGCATCTCTGTTACATAAATATTGTACAGATATACACCATTATGTAAAAGTCCTTCAAAGATATCACTTATTAGAGCAACAGTCTGTATGCGCAAAGCAACGATTCAAACTTGGGGGGAGGGGGGATTGGCAGGCTAAAAAGAAACAGGAGACATTGAGCTCACTAAAGTACCAGCCTCCAGCATCATCTTTATTTACAATAATTCCTCTGGGCCTCATAGGCATTATTGGAAAACACAAGTGGTGGGTTACTGCAGCCCAGTGTTTTGTTAAAAGGCTGCCTATCTGGCCAGAGAAAAGGCTAGCTAAAAGCTACTTATTTATTTTGCAATATTTGTAAATCACTCTAATCTCCAACACTCTGGGAACTGGAGGAGTATCATGGGAGCTGGAGGAGTTAACAATCAGCAATTTTATAGAGTTGCCTTCTGGTAATGGGCTGTTTGTGCTTGCTGTAACAGCCACTTGGGAAAAAGTCAAGTCCACCCACTCTTCTCCCCCTCACAGCAACCTGTGGTGCGAGTGCCTGTGATGCACTCACAAAACTCAAGCCTGGCTCCGGCTCAAAGAGGTTGGAGATCCCTGATATCAATTATGGGCTGGCCAGTTGGATGTTCTTGGAAGCACTAGAGGGACTTGCTGGGTTGTGACTCTCCATCTCTCCCGATGGTTTAATACGACCTCCCTCAAGGGCCTTCCTCTAACTACATTCTCGTTCTCACAAATTTAAGCCCACTTTGATTCTTGCGGGTTGCTGGATCCTTTGCAAGATTCGATGGCACAAACCTAAAACTGTGCCAGCAGCTGGTTTATTCTTTCTGGGCATTGATCATTGGTAACTGTTTAGATTTCACATTCTGAATATTCCCTCACTGCAGCCCTCCTGAAGTGGAGAGAGGAGGAGGAGTAGAAATGTGTTAACGCAAGAATCAGCAATTTGGTTCAAAGCAAGAATAATCTTTAAAATGGCAGAATGTTTCTAGGTGTTTTCATATCCGCAGAACTGCAGTAATCTAAGGCATACCTGGCCATTGTCGATTGCAGAATACAGTTATTGAATGTGTTTACTGCACATTTCAAGATAGAAACTTGGAAAATCTGATCTGGCCAATTCTGCCTTGGGCATCATGCCCATTCGCCTCTGCAGTGATCCTATTGTGACTCATGTACTTCTTTACCAGCAAATAATGTTTTAGCTAAATGCAGCCCTGTTGGGATTTTGAAAACATTTAATACTCAAAAGTAGTATTGAAGCAGTATCATAAATGGCTATGAAATAAGTATCCTCTGGAGTGATATGCTTGATTCTTTCTTCATTTCTTAAATCCTCAGTTTAATTCAGTTTAGTTGGAATGAGAGTTTGGCTCTTTGCCCTCTATTAAGGAATCGTTGTAATCCGTTCCAGTGTACTTCAGTTCCCCCTGTTTGTTGCGTGATAAATTCTCATTTCTTGTTCAACTGTTTTTATATAATCCTCACTTGTCTTTTTGTGGTTGCATTTCTCTTGGGAAAACATATGCACTTTCCAACTATTTAAAATGTAGTGCTTTCTTTCTGAGAAAAATTGAGTATTCTTCCCTGTCCAAATATACATATAGTGTTGTAGGAATTGCTTTTTGAGGCATGAAAGCTGGATGGAAGTTGCCTCATCATCATAAGAACAGTCTAAGTCAGTGTTTCTCAACCTTGGCAACTTGAAGATGTGTGGACTTCAACTTCCAGAATTCTGGGAGTTGAAATCCTCATATTTTCTATCTGACAAGGTTAAAAACACTGGTCTAAGTGTTCTTTGCAGAAGTACCAGGCACATAGGAATTTCTAGAAGAGACTTTTCTGTCCGATCAGCCTGCCACACACTCCAAATTTTATGAGTCAATAACATCTTGTCTTCTACTACTTGTGACTTTTCCCCCCTCAAAAATATATATAAAGACGGAATAACTTGTATGATATCTCTTGATTGGTAAGTTGGGAAGTGTCTGGAACCAGCATAGATGTGACATAGTGTAAAGTTAATGACACCAAAAGCACCAATGACACCAGTACTCTTCAATACCTTCATTAACGACTTAGATGAGGGAATAGAAGGGGAACTTACCAAATTTGCAGATGATACAATCAAGATCAAGTGAGGTACTAATACCACACTATAAAGCCTTATTAAGACCACACCTAGAGTATTTCATCCAGTTTTGGTTATCACATTATAAAAAAGATGTTGAGACTCTAGAAAAAGTACAGAGAAGAGCAACCAGGATGATTAGGGGACTGGAGACTAAGGCATATGAAGAACGGTTACAGGAACTGGGCTTGGCTAATCTAGTGAAGAGAAGGACCAGAGGAGACATGGAAGCAGGCTTCCAATATTTGAGGGGCTGCCACAGAGAGGAGGGCTCAAGCTATTTTCTAAAGCACCTGTAGGCCAGACAAGGAAAAAATGGATAGAAACTGAACAAGGAGAGATTTAATCTGGAAATAAGGAGAAACTTTCTGACAGAACAATCAACCAATGGAACAGCTTGCCCTCAGAAGTTGTGGGAGCGCCACCAGTTGAGACTTTCAAGAAGAGATTGGACTGCTATTTGTCAGAAATGGTGTAGGGTCTCCCGCTTGGGCGGGGGGTTGGACTAGATGACCCATAAGGTCCCTCCCAACTCTGATTATCTGTTATCTAATGCCTTAAAATGGAGAATTAAATGGATAAGGTAAATGTGAGTCTGTATGTAACTAAGAAGAAGGTGTGCAAGAACTTTGGAAGTGAAGGAGAAATGACTGAAGAAGCAGAGAGATAATTTATTGAGATGATGGTGCATATGAAAATCAGTGGTGGGATTGAATTTTTTTTTAATACCGGTTCTGTGGGCGTGGCAGGGGAAGGATACTGTAAAATCTCCAGTCAGCGATGGTATTTGCCGGTTCTCTGAACTACTCAAAATTTCCACTACCGGCTCTCCAGAACTGGTCAGAACCTGCTGAATACCACCTCCGATGAAGATGTAGGGAAAGAGCATATTGAGCAAGTGAAGATTTGAGGTGCTAGCCTTTTTTTTACACATCAACATGAAAAATGGCATTAAATTAATAGATGAGGATTTTATGTCATAGAATGAATACGAACTCTATGTTCTTCCATGTCCTTTCTGTTCCATGTAAGCCCCAAATATGGTCGCCGCCTTGCCTCTACACTCCATTAAACCATGAAGGTTCTCTTCAGCTTCCACTCTGTTAAATCTATCCTGCAGATTGCAATCAATTCCTCTTTTGCTTTTCCTGTTCCCCATGTTTCAGTTATTTCTGCCTCCCTTATGCCTGTCTGGTCCATCTAGCAGAGATATTTAATCTTCAGAGCGAAGATCACATAAATTACTTGATACAAATGATGACAAGGAGGAGAAAAATCAAAGGAGATGAGGAGTCTAAGAAAATAGAATCAGTCTCATATTGCAGAGTTAGCATAGCTCTGAGCTGGAAGATGGAGGTCTGTAGTTGTACATACAAGATATTTCATGAAAAATGACTCTCCCCATGAATTGCGAGCTGGTGAGAAAATTTGCTGAAGAAGCTTACTAAGAATGTAATCACTGTTGGTCGCACAAATAAATATTGAACATATTATACTCACAGGTAAAATAATGTGTACAAAAGTGTTCAAATTGCTTTCCAGAAACTCCTGGAGTTTCTCCATGAGAAAACCAGGAAAGATATACATGTTTTCCAGGAAGAGAGCTTAGGTCTCATTTTTTACTATCTTCTTCAGAGTTAAGAGAATTCTTGCCTATACTCTAAAGCAGGGGTCTCCAACCTTGGCAACTTTAAGGCTTGTGGACTTCAACTCCCAGAGTTCCTCAGCCAACAAAGCTCTAAAGAATAAAAGACCAAAACATTTTTTTCAGTGTGATGGCAACTTCTACAGCTTCTAAAGACAACAGAATATGTACACTTCTGTTCGATAGCATCTTACCACGGCTTCCTGAAATGGATTTCTCCCTCTATCCAACAGAAGACTGGTCTTCATACTCCTTGATGCTGAACATTTTGGTGCATCGGATATATGTCTTTAAATTCTTTGAAGCATAAAGGACCTTCATTTCAGATTCTTATCAAAAAAAGGTCTGGTTACTGAAATTTTAAAGCCAATTCAATTTTAGATTTTTTTTTTTTCATTTGGGAACGGAAGGGCCATAGCACAGCATTAAGACGTTTTGTTTGCAAAAGATTTTATCAT